ACGCCGGAAGATGCAGTACTTTCGCCATTACCATGCGTGCTCACGCGGGCCTTAACATGTTTGGGCCCGCAGCACGGGCAGAAGCCTGAGGCTGTGACTGCGCAACTCAGCCATCGGCCATCCTTATTCAGATCGCGAGACTTCCAGCACCCTTCCTCTTTCCAGTTGACCATACATATATATCCATAGTTATATAGCCATATATCCATAGTTGACCGATGTTGTCGGTGTTGTCGAGGTTGCCGAGGTTGCCGGTCGTTGTAGGACCTCATATAGCCTTCACGTTTCGCGCGCTCTCTAAACTGTGACCCCGACAGCCACGACAACACCGACAACATCGACAACACCGATAACACCAACAACACCGACAACCTATGGCCGTTCCCTTAGGGGAAATGAGCCGAACACTTTCTAGTTAGTATCCACAGAGGCAATTACGTACAAATTTTACTGACTGGTAAGAGCCAAACAACGATCGAATAGCTGCTGTGAAGAAAGTAGTTCAGTAAATTTGATTGCAACATTTTATGTTAGAAAGGGAGAAGAAGAAAGAAAAAAAATGCGCCTATTCTAAAGATCATGCGGTATGTAGAGCAGGGATTTGTAAATAGTTTTTTTCTCCTTATTGGTTGCGTATTCGTTTTTTTCACAGACCAAAAAGAAAAACGAGTAAGCCTTTCCATAGTCAATTAGGCGGCATCAAAACTAACGTAGTGAACAGTCAGTCGACCGAAAAAGCGTATGGAAAAATCACATCAAATTGAATTTCTCTCGCGTCTCTTGGTCGGTATGGGTCAATCATGGGTTTTGCAAGTCTCGTCTGTAGAGAGAACAGATTTGTTGTCCACGAGCAAAATTCAGATTATAATCTTCATTTGTAACTCGTTGAAAAGCAAATGATCTACATCGTTGGGAAATCAGAAATTATGATCTTCATATCAGCTTCCTCCGTTTTCTCCAACTTTCTGCAAAGTCATCTACAGATGGGTGGAATAAGATAGTACGTTGTTACGTAAGCACATGAGAAGCATTTGCTAACATCACTTGCATTCTCCACTATTTTATCCCAAAGAAATGATGAATGTCTTCTGCACTTTTGGGATGGAAACTCCTCCTACAAGCGTAGTGCCACCCTTCGAACAAGCCTATAATGCGATGCTCACTGACGACAAAATATGGTAGCTTTGAGATAATGCATGAATAACAGTTGTTTGACTTGACTATAGCAAACCAACCAACTTGATCGGATTGTGACATCGGTGGCCCACGATCAGGTGCAACAAAATTACCAAATCGACAGAGAAGGGAGCTGTAAGAGTATAGAGACTGGCCACACTAAGCAAACATAAAAAAGTGGCATAAACCTAGTCCTTTCGTATAATCATGATTGCAAAGATGCGAATAATAAAAGACCGGCCAAGCTTGAGCCTAAGCCATAGTCTCTGACTTGTGACGAAAGCGACACGGTCTTAAATGGTGTACTTCTATTGATGAATTCAGAACGGGCGAAAGTCTTTCAGATCAGACCAAAAATGATTGGAGCAAGAACTTGGTCAGACATTCGAAATAAAAAATGTCTGAGTCAAAGACTTCGTAAAACCGCTGACATCAACTCCGAAGAAAAAATCGCTAACTGGAAAGAAAAGGTTTGAGGATGCGGTTCGAAAAAATACTTGTATCACGTTTATTGTGATAGTCAGAAATTGAGGTCTTGTTATTTGAGAACTTTCGTCAAAACAGCTGCTAGGATTATGCTACACGACCTCCAGTAAGCCTAAAAGAAGATGTAGACGAGAGTTGAGGTTACTATGGTTTCCTGTTGCCTATGACAGTCACATCGACAAAAACTGCAGCATTGTATTCCAACGGTCCTTTTCCTATTCAACGACAGACCTGATCTCAGGCTGTATGAGCAAACGTTCATATAACAGAGGAACTTTTAAAGTAAACGCAGGAAGGCACTCAAATTTGATGAAAAAACGAAACATTCAAGCACCTGTCAGACCAAAAGCACTAAAGCGCATGAAGATAGTGAATCGGCAAAATAAACCCTTATGGATTCTGGTAGATTTAGGTGTAGACCCCTCCCCCCCCCCCCCCCTCCCAAAGTAAATTGTAGCCCAATCCCCCCCCCTGCCAGTTCATGAGCTAAGTCCTAAAAAACGCGCTTCAAAATTCCACCAACCCCACTTCCACTGAGTGGGCGAGTAGTTTAGAAGCACGTGTTACAGTACTTAGTACTCGATGGCATGTAGTGTTTGAGCTACACTGTACTTGGGCGATCTACAATCTGAACCCACCAAAATCCGAGAAGGGTCCATTTTGCCGATCCACTGCCTTCTTTCCTTACATTTCCCTCATCTCTCCTCACACGTTCCGCGCTAGCTTAATAGCGCTTTTAGGAAAGTGCCGTGTGTGAGGAAAAATGGATTTATGGAAAAAGATCAAAGGAATTTTGGTTTTCGAGGATTTTTGGGCGCTCTTGGGCGCTTCTGAGCGAAGTCTGATTAACCCGTCTTACTTCACCGAGAAAAGCCCAAAAAGCATCCATAAAAGCCCTAAAAAGCCCAAAAGCCCCGAAAAGCCCAAAGAAGCCGGAAAAGGCCAAAAAAGCCGAAGAAGCCCGAAAAAGCTGGAACGCAGAAACGAACCTTTGGTAGAATTCTGACATTATTTTGAGGTATACGGACGAGAGAAAATGAAGCAAAAAACTCAGTTGCGAAATTAGAACACATCCCTTAGCGTCAAAACGAAAGGGACGTTGCAGCTCTTACAGGCTTTTTTGGGTTTTTCGGGCTTTTTTGGACTTTTTCGGGCTTTTTTGTGCTTTTTTCGGCGAATTATAACGGGCCCCTGACAGGTGACTGAGATTTGAAAATGCATTGAGCTAACTTCGCGAACGAGAAGAAAACTATGTTTCGCGGAAATATAAGTAGAATATGGCACGCTCTAACTAAGAAATAAATGAAAAGATACTATAGCAAGGACTAACTTTATTGAGCTGCGTAGCATAAATTTCGCTTTGAAGTTCGATAAATTCTAAGTTGCATCTGTCTTGAACGGTTCATTCAAACAACTTAGTTGTGGCTCACTCCCTCCATAAGAAGTAAGAGCCAAGGCTGCGCGTTTAGCGAGCAACATGTTCACATCTAGACATAAAAATGGACATAAATTCTTCAGTATATTTCAAGAAACAGCTATGCACTCACATTTTGCGCAGTCATATGTACTGAAAATGTTCCTGTTTATGAGGTTATCCTTTTTAAAGCCATCTCTGTCAACGAAGCTTATATGATCTTGTCGATAGTATTCCCATGTTGGTTAACGCGGCTTTGAACCTCATCAAATAATTTGCTGTTCAACTCAGCGTATGGGGCATTCACCACTTCTGAAGTTGAAAATTGGAGACAATATATCGACAAAAACTAGAGAAATACCTCTTTTAGTGGATGTAACGGCCTTTCGACAATGATTTGTTGCAATCCTTTGAGATGTTTCTGAAACAAAAACTATAAAGCAAGGCTGCAAAAGAAACTGATCATGATGCACAGGAAAAAAAGAAAGGGAATGTGAAAATATGCATCTATAGTTTAAGAACATGAAACTTTGGTGATGGCCGGGTATTGGAAGGGACGTCGAGAAGAAGATGTGAACGAAGCGTTGATGATGATTCACGTCCCGCCCACTTCCACTGAGTGGGCGAGTAGTTTTGAAGCATGTGTTTCAGAATTTGGTACTCAATGGCATGTATAAGCTTCTGCAAGACGAAGGCGGTCGGTTCGACGTATGACGTGGCTGTGACGCGGCTGTGACTCGGCTGTGACGCAGCCATGTCGCAGCCGCGTTGCACATCGAATCGACCGCCTTCGTCTTGCAGGAGCTTATAGGATTTGGGCTACACTGTACTTGGGCAATCTACAATCTGAACCTACCAAAATCCGAATAGGGTCCATTTTGCCGATCCACTGCCTTCTCTCCTTACATTTCCCTCATCTCTCCTCACACGTTCCGCGCTAGCTTATTAGCGCTTTCAGGAAAGTTCGAAACGTGTGTGAGGAAAAATGAGGGATTCATGGAGAAAGGAAGGAACTTTGGTTGTCAAGGATTTTTGGGCGCTCTTGGGCTCTTTTCAGCGAAGTCTGAGGGACCCGTCTTACTTTGCCGAGAAAAGCCGAAAAGCACCTAAAAAAGCCCAAAGAAGACGGAAAAGGCCAAAAGCGGAAAAAGCCCGAAATAGCTGGAACGCATATTGCAGGAAATGTTTCTTCACAATCTAAACTTACTGTATTCTTTCTTCAAAACTACACCCAAGTGATCGCGTGATCGCATAGAAAAATCCAAAACATTCAGAATAAGATATGAGACCATTCTGAAACCAGAACACAAAGTTAATGATTGTGATATCCGCATCCCAGTGTCAATTCGTAGCGCTTAGCTCAAACTTGAAAAATATACGCTCCGTGACGGGACCCGTAGTGCGAGCAAATCTCTCGCCGATATAATGGCAACTGGCCTCTCCTCTGGTCATCATTGAGCGGCGTTATATTTTCACATTCCTTTTCTGGATTCGATCGCAAGCTGGATCCTCCTACGTTCATGCGGTTAAGGATAGGAGGGAGGCAGAAAACTCTGCTGCCGCGCTCGAAATGATCGAGTGTATATTATAGTAAGGATATATATCAAGATCACTTCATGCCTACATTGCCCTAGTCCCATGCAAGTGTCACCTTTCATATGTATCACCCTTGGTCTATTCATCAACAAGAACTCCCTCAAATTGATGCTCAAACAAGGCTCCTATCGCATGGTCGCCATCTGCATGAGATTTATAATCCTGCACGCTTCCTTCAGTCTCAAATCATTCAGACTTTTGAGCGCGCTTGCGCTTCTTTTCCTTTTTCTCACTCTCTCTCCACTCTCTCGTCCACGACCATAATCGTCGGCTGCGCTTCTACGGTAGGTTTATTTGCCACCACGACGTTTTCTTCCACATCGTCCAGCTATCGATCTCTTTCTTGGCTCTCTTGGGCGCCATCATCTTGAGGTTCTGTAGGTCCTCGGTTATTGGTTGATGACGCACGTGATGTTTTAGCTGGGGCCTTATGACAATCAACGACGGCCTGCACTTTGCTCCTGAAAAGCCTGTGTTAAGTCCCTTTTTTTGAACAGACTAACCTGCACAAAACGCAGGCAAGCCTGTTTTTCTTCAACAACTCTGAATCGCTTCTCCAAGTCATCATCATGTCCGGCGACCAGCTTCATCAATTTTTCCTTATCCAACAACATCCAACATCCGGCATTACGCACGCAATTATAGAATTCGATGGTATCGACTCTGGTGTTATACGTATGGCGCTTACCTGTTATGGCACGTTCTTCAGCCATGATACTGGGATAAAAACACATTAGCTGTGTTCACCATGCCAAGCCATGTATATCCCCCACTATTGTGGGAGGCATGCATGACTTTGCCCAGTCTTCAAATGCCATGAAGACTGCCCTAAATATACGATGCCAATGACATTTTACTAATCACAAATCCCACAGGAACATTACGTTTTGAAAAAGCTCGCTGTTTAACTCAAGAAAAATCACAAAATCGCAAGTGTTTACAAAAGATCCCAAGAAAACCCGAGTTACGCCCGTTCGCCCAGCCAAAGAGTGGGAAGAGAGAACTATATTAGTGACGGTGTATATGGTTTGCAGTCTTCAGCAATCTTTTTCATTCCAGAAACCTTCAGAAAACCATCTCTTGGGATAAATGTGAGAAAGATTTTACTTTTGGATTTTTGAATATCTAAGCGTCAAACACGACTTTCGTATTGTACGTCAATTCGCCAGAACTTCTATGTAACGGACTTTTCTACTTGATCTGCTCCACTACAGCTTGAAAAAAAAACAGCCCAAAACGCCAGTTTGCAAAGATGTAAGTTGTTTAACCTGTTACTAAAATTCACACAAGAGCTAATCAGTTACAATCAAAATTGGGATCAACTTTAATAGGCGTCTTCTATTTTGTCACTTTGAAGCTTTTCGCAAGCTCAAACGTGCAGTATGCGAAGAGTTGTTCGGACTAGGCCATGGCACTTACGTCAAGTCATGAAGGAAAAATTAGTGAAGCAATTTTACATTGTTTTTCGATATGAGCAAGATAATAGTTTTAGAATTTGCAAATTCGATTAGAATCTAAAAGATTCTAATGGAGCACCATGGTTTCGGAAGTTTCCCAACTTCGGGAAACACTGATGAACACTGAAAGCACTTCGTGGTTTAGGGATGGTATTATTGTCACAATTATTATTAACTATTAGAATGGCTAATAATAAGTTTGGTTTGACATGCAACTTCAAAATTCCTTAAAGGCAGCGTCCGGGCAGGTTTCATGATTACGAGAAAAAACATATATTGCTGCAGTTCCCACTCTGACGAAACTCTTACCGAAGTAGCTCGCTTCAGTTTGGTACTAAAGCGAGAAATCGCTTCAGAAGTGACGACTTAGACGCCCCGGCGACCTGCCCGCCCTTTCAATCGATAGCCAGAGTGCCTATATCGCACACAGTCAAGGCGTAGGGTCCTCCTAGAGTCTAGGTGTCTTAACCTCGGCGACAAGCGTCCGGTTTCAGAAACAGGGGTTTCCGGAATAGCCCGTTTTCGACATCGTACTCTTCAAGCTGCATTTTCGAATCCAGCGGGAACTCAGACATTTGCGGTTGAGTCGCGCACCGCGCAGGACAAAACGAGGTGTCGCCACGGAATGTCTGCGCGAGTTCCGAAATCGGGTCGGGACAAAATCAGGACACCTGAATTTGTTTCGGGACAAAAGTGCGCGACAAAATCAGGTGTCTTGACGGAAACATTTCGGACAAAATCGAAACACCTGCAGGAGACACTATAATGTCCCGATCGTTCAGAGCACGCGGACTAGGCCCTTATTAACAGCTTTTGCATTCTCTGTGCCCTCTCTCACGCATCCCTTTTCGCTTATCTTGAGCCCTTGGTCTCTTTGGGTCCCATTCACTTTTCTGCTAGTGAAACCCACTTTTACGTCATGAAATTTATTAACAAATATCACATGAACTTCTCGAGCAGGCTTTACAATAACATCGAAATGTGATGCACAGACAGCAGCAAGTATAAGATTTGGAGCACCACAACTAGGACACAAGGTTATGAAACAACTACCCTATTTTCAGGTGTATAAGCCGCACTTTTTCAAATTTTTGCCCGGGTTGCTCAGCCGCTTCATTGTGTTTCGAGAAGCGATCCTTATGCCGCACGATTCTTTCAAGCAATACGCAGCACGGTATAGGGTTCTTTGGATGCGAGGTCCATTGATGTGTTCGGGCTGCTCGATGTAAGCTAGGACCACCCCGCGGCTTATACACCTGAAAATAGGGTACAACGAAAAATGTAGGCGATAGCATCAGGCTTCCTCAATCGGACATTGCGGAAGCCTGATGAACTAACAAATAACTTCTAATCAGTACTTTCCACGTGAGAAGTACGTCCTCAGAAGACTATGACTATGGGTTAGGAAAATTTACGCCACGAGTTAAAAGTTTGTATTATATTTCCAAATTAATTGGGGTAACAAATTTTGCTTAGATTTGCTAATATTATTTTCTAGAGCTTGCTATAAATAGTAATTCAGACTCAAGTCCGAATTCTTTTTGACTCAGCAAATCTGCATTCCGCAGATCTGCTGAGTCAAAAACTCCTAAGACATCCTGATCACGAAAAAGAGCGCCAACCTTCGATCTTGAACAAACGCAGAGATCTTCACTAGAGTTTTGGATACGCGGCCCGATCTGAAATAACCAGCTTAAACTATTCTCAGACAATCGCCGGGGGCAGGCGGGCACCAGAAAAATAGATTGCTGATCTCTCGCACCCCGCTCGCGGATTTTTTGGAAAGCAATCAGGACTTTTCGGAAGACCGCTTGCTGAGTCAGCGGATTTTTGAGAGACCGCCTGTTGAATTTTTTTCGCTCTTATCTTTTACAGATATATTGCTGAATCTCTGAGGAATCGAGAACTCAACAAGCAGTCTTCCGAAAAGTCCTGATTGCTTTCCAAAAAATCTGCGAGCGGGGTGCAAGAGATCAGCAATCTATTTTTCCGGTGCCCGCCTGCCCCCGGCGATTGTCTCAGTTATTGTGAGAAAAGCACTGTATCAGAGCTTGGCAAATGTGCTATGTATGGATGAAAATGATATGAAAGTGAAAGAATAGACATGCCCGTCAAAGAACATCATCCATGAGAGAGGTGACAGTCGTCTGTAAATATTCTAATGTCAGCCTATGCTACGGAAAATCCTGAATGATATCAATAGGCGATTGTAAACAATATAACAGCAGGATTGAAACCAAAACGTCGAAGAAAAGAGCGCTAATAAGCAGAAAACAATCAATCAAGAAACGACAGTAATTTCGCAACTTTCAAAACCTCCACTATAATATGTACGTAGTGTACTTCGGGACAAAATCGGGACGAAACTAAAGTGATGAATCCCGCCGGTGCACCGGATTTTAGTGCGAACGTCCATTTTGTGGGCGGATCTCCTGTGCGACCCAACCGCGAATGTCTGAGAAAAAATAAGCCTAGGTAAGCGAAAAAATTTTGTTCGCATTTTTGCCCGGACGCTGCCTTCAACAACTCGAGTGTCAGCTATTTAGCTGAGATTTTTTTGCGAGAAGGTAGCTTCAAGCCACTACTCTCGAATATCAAGTAGTCAAAAAATTTTTTCACCAAAAAGTGACAGTCATGCAATTATATAGCTAGACCTTTAAAAAATCACTTTTTTGACTTCCTGATTTCCGTTCTCAGCCTATATTGGGTGCACATACGACTTATTCAATGGTTGAATATATAATACCTAATGGTCGTTGCGAAAGTAATGCCGCTTTTTCAAATGTACGCTAAGTTTCGTGGAACAAAGATTTGTAAGCGTTTCTTGGTCGCGTTCGATGTAATATTTCATTCACTTTCTAAAGGTTATGAAATCAAATCAAATCAATATTCAATGGGCTTGAAAGATTATCAAAGTTTGCGACCCATGCCTTTTCAAAAGGTCAAGTTTCACAAATTTTATAGTTTTTTGTAATAATTCACTAAGGAGTAAGGGTTGCATGCAACATCCCCGTCGGGAGGGTACTGCAGCTTCAGAACAAAGCTTTATTTCTCAAAGCTCCATATATCTGGATTTCACGCTGTCTTCCTATTCGTAAGTACTCTTATCAAATTTCACTATAAACATATTGAACGGGAGCAAGAAGCTGTATAGTCGTCCTCACCCCAGTAGTCGCTTCAGTGGACGGATTCAAATTCAAAATGGAGCACGCCGGTCGCGGCAGAGCGCGCACCCGAAACCTCAGTTCAAAACTACGCATACATCTCATTGGTTGTTTTTACATGGTTGCTTGTTAATCTATGTACTATGCCAATGTTTTGTTTCTATAAGCTCCTGCAAGACGAAGGCGGTCGGTTCGAGGTACGACGTGGCTGTGACGCGGCTGTGACTCGGCTGTGACGCAGCCATGTCGCAGCCGCGTTGCGCATTGAATCGACCGCCTTCGTCTTGCAGGAGCCTATAGTCGAATTTGCTTTTTGTGATTGTAGAGTGTTGTTTCGCGCAGTTACGCTGGGTTTTTGTTTAGGTGAATTTATTTAAGCTTCTAGAATGGCGAATTTTCGTGCATCACTACAACAACACTTCTGCGGGTTACTTACAAAAGAAAAAGATTTACAGCAAAGGTTTCCCATCTGCACTGTTTCATAACTTGTATTCAGACTTGATCATAGCAGTTTAAAACAATGCTCGACAACAATAAATAGCATAATATTTTGAAAACGAACATACTTAAAACACGAAGATTAACAAACAACTACCATAAAAAACCATAAAGAAACATGAGCAAAGCCTAAACTAAGGGTTCAGGTGTTGGCTCCTCCTGTCCTGGCCTGCTCTTGTTCGAATTCAATCCGTCCACTGACCGACTAGTGGGGTGAGGACGACTATACAAGCCGCATTTTCCAGCTTTTTGTTTTATCTCCTGATGACCCCTGGCTGGCGATCGTCTCTTCTTTAGAGTAAATTTTCTTTTATCGAAGTCAATAAAAACATTTCAAAGTTGTGCTGTTTATCAGACCCAATAGTGCTAATCATGTTTCTGTTAAGAACAAGTGATGTTTCAAAGTCATGAAATTTGCGATGAAACACAAGTCGAAGGGTGGGGTTTATTGAAAAGATTGATATTCCAAAAACTCATCAGTTCTTATCAGCAGCATGCATAGCACAGCTTGGTTAGATGATCAGTACAGCTCTGGCAGATTTTCGTTAATTTTGAAGGAAGAAAAATGACTTTGAAGAAAATACGTTTGGCCGC